GACGAGATCACGAGGTTGTAGGTTGCGCTTTGTATTCAGCCATCAGCATCAGAAGATATCCGCGTAGCCATTTATGCCAGAGCAAATCAGTCAAATATTTTGGAAGTAGTTGACTATAGTGTTGGAAGAAAGCATATCCATACATAGCATTCGCTTTACCTTTGTAATATTGTAATTTTCTTAAGAATTCACCAATTGCTGAATGAGCCACAGTTGAAAGCCTTTTTGGAACGACTATTTCATCTGTACTTACCATAGAATCGTCAGCTTCAATCAAAACTCGCAGAATCGCATAACAAGCACAATAATGTCATCAGCATTTTCTGCTGGAGAATAAAACTCCATGGAAGTTACAACTGAAGGAATCATTGACAACCAATTAATATAGACTACATCTGAGACATCGCCTTGAGCACAGTCGGTATTCAGACCGAACTGCTCTAGAACAAGAGGTAAATTAGATAAATAAATTCCAACGCACTCAGCTCGACACTTATCTATTGCAGATGGAAGGTTTGAAAACTTGCTGTCATACGTTCCTCCTGGTTCACACCAACTTTTTACAGGACCTCCATCTATGACATATTCAGTAGTTTTCGTGTGGAAATTTCGTTTTCCATGACAATCACGCCGAAACAGTTTACCAGAACCATATCCCATCAGTTCATGAAGTCCAACTTGTAATTCAAAGGAACTTTCAGCATGTTCCACGTACATTTGTTTGTCTTCATTACGTAGAAATTCTGTTTTGGGATCCTTGAAACGAACACTGAGTACATTATCCAAAGAAACACTTTTAAATCCATCAACTTGTCGTACATCATCATAGTTAGGAATATTAGTTCCAACAGGAATTCCAGCAGTTGCAAAAGTCACTACATCCAAACTAGTAAGGTCTGACTGTAAGAATTTATCTCTTTCATATGTAGAAGGCCGTGGTAAATTTGTCAACAACCTTTCAGCGTTATTTACAAGTCGTTGGAATTTTGTTGACAGTGATCTATTTACAACAGCGACAAATAATTCAAACTTTGCACGAACGCCAAAGGGATCACGATATGACTCTATGAAACCAATGTAGTTTTCAACAACAGGGTTCTTATCTTTAACCCATAACCTGAAGGCATCTTTGTGAGTGGCTACTGAGCCAGTAGTGAAGCTTTCAGCATGCTGATGCCACATTTCTGATTCGATTTGGTTAAGCGAATGTGCTTTAAAATCTTTACAACAATCGACTAGTAACTTCACCAGCTCACTATAGTCAACATATTCAAGCTGCAAAGATGTGTCCGAAGGGAGGGCATCTCTTAACTTTTCACGACGTTGACTTAGAGGGATTTGCAGGTCATGGTAATGTTGGGCTAACTGTCTTTGTTCATCTTGGATAATAGGAGCGTCGAAATGACTTTCTGCAGCAAGCGTGTCAGCCTGGACTTTGAATGCATCTATACGCTCACGATGAGCAGCTACATCAGATTCAAGCAAGTTGTGCCGCTTTTGTACGTTCATCACACGACCGACATCCTCTGAGGCTATATGAGCTTCAACATCATTCAACCATAACTCGACATCTTCTACGTTGCGAGCGAACTGTTGTTGCCTACTTGTTTGATCTAAATTTTTCTTCTTGTCTCCCATGGCATTTACGAGATGAGACCAAGTTTCATCCAACTGTTCAATCTTTACTTTTATTTCTAGTGAGTTGTAGTGGTTTGCATTTAACAAATCCTGACCTGTCTTTTTAATATCTTCAACGCGGGATTGGTTCGCTTGTATTTCTACCTCAAAACTCTGATGCTTCTGCACCTTTGTTTGCAAATTCGTGGAGTCTTTGTAACTTCCATCAAGTGCATTTCTAAGTTTTCCTGATATCCATGACTGCATTTCATCTGCATCTCTATCGAACATTTGGTAATGGTGGGAATCTTGAAGACGCTGACGGCGGTTCTGAGCTTTCTCCTTCAATGCATTTCGTCTATTTTGAAGACCTTCCTGAATCTCATCAACCTGTGCAGCCGCATAGTGGTTTGATTCGATTAATTTTGCAGCGAATTCATCAAGTTGTCGCATCTTTTCTTCTTGTTCTAAAAGTGACTTTTCGAAGTCTTCATGTTTCCTTATGAGTGCTTCCACAGAATCGAGTGAGTCTCCCACATCTTTTATTTCTAGGAGGGCTTCTTGCTTACCAATCCAAGATTCCGACTGTTCAGCGTTGCGGTAAAAATACTGAAGGCTCATACACTGTTCTAGCTGTTCACGTCTTTCCTCACACAACCGCATCAGGGAGGCTCTCTCTCTTTCAAGGGTGGAAAGTTTAGCAGCTATGTCTCCACTACAGGGATGGCCAACTCTTTGTAATGCCTGACCTTCTTGCATGCATGTATCGAAACTGTCAGCTCGAGAATTTATCTCAGCGGTGTATTCCTTATGTCACTCTACTTGGGCTTCAGCACCAGCTACATCCTTTGCCAAATCATCCACCGATATTAACGTCTTCATGTCATTCATCCAGATGCTCAAGTCTCTCCAGTCAACCAAAAAGCGATGCATCTTGAATGACTCTTCCAGTTTACCTGTCCTACCTACAACCTGACTTTTCAGCTTATCCCATGCAGTGATTAAGGCGTCATATGTGCCTTGTATAGTGTCTTGCGAATCAGGATGCCTCCGTGCAAGCGCCTTAGCATCATCTCCAAGTTGAACAATCTTTTCATCTGGGGCAGTCAAATACCTTTCTAATGCTTCGTGCTTCCTTTGTAAGGCTTGGACTGAAGCAAGATCACGACCACAGTCCTCAATGGATAAAGGAATGGACTTTTCATTCACCCACGATATAGCTTTATCTGTGTCTCTAAAGAAGCGCTGTATCTCATAGGCTTCCAGGAGCCTTTCTTGTCGTTTTCTAGCCAGATCCTTCAGACGTTCTAGAGCTTCGCGGACCTGTCTGAACTTTTGTATGACTAGGGCATCCTCAGGAAATTCCTCTTTTAGAAGTTCATCTGCCTTCCCATAGATGTCTTCGGCACGACTTTCTTGATACTCGAGATCATTTGTAAACTCATCAAACGTTTTTCGATGTGTCCCAACATGTTCCAAGTCTTGACCCAAATCCTCTGATGTTACGTAAGTTTCTTTTTCACGTATCCAGAAAAGTATCTCCTCGACTTGGCGTAAGAACTGGACCAATTTAAGGGTTAGGTTAATAAGACGTGATTTTTCTCTGAAAATAGCCATAAGCCTTTCCCACAGGGCATGCAATTCATCAAGACGGTTTTTGATAATGTCTGTCGCGTAGTGCCCCTGACCAATCATTTCTTCTCCCGCAGAATCCAGAGCTGACAGTGTTTCAGCATGAACTGTTACTTCGAACTCAAACTCTTGATGTTTCTGTTTTTTCAGCTGAAGATTACTGAGCTCTCTAAAATCCTCGTTTGCATATGTTTGCAGTTTTTTATCGATCCAACACTCAAGTTCATCGGCATCCTTCTTAAAATATTGATATCTTTCAAGCATGTCCAGAAACTTAGATATGCCTCTGGCGAACTCATCATTAAGAGATAAAGCAACTTTATGAGAAGTAGAAGGTTTGTAAGGCGATTTATTGTGACCAGAACATTCGCGACTACCTTGTCGTAATCTTTCTAATTCCATTTCTTTCTCTTTTTGGACTATGCGCAATTTCGCTAGCTCCAATTCTACCATATAGTGTGATTTATTCTCGTTGCTTCCAGGGAAATCATCTTCATTACTCTTTCCTAACCGTGGAGTTAACGACGGCATCGTTTCATAACTTTCGTCTGCCATACTGTTCGAAACTTTGTAGGATTATTTTCGTCTTACAGATTTAGTCCTTCCTCCATACTGACGACACACAGTCTTGGGTTAGCTATAGTTAAATCAGAATGACTTGACTTAAACTTTATCTGTTTCTAAAACATAAGGTAAATCATACAATTACACCAAGAAAAATATACAAATCCACTGTCATTCAAAAAAGGACAAAAACGCACCGAACAGTATTGAGGGTACGGACAAAATGAACAGTCAATTAATTACATGTATACACAAATAGAGTGACAGACAACGAAGAACATTCAAGATCACATCACGTGGTGTGAGTTACAATAAATTGACCAATAATCGCGACAAGAAGGTCACATCATATTGATTAGCTGTCTATCATATAGTCTATCTATCTATCTGTCGCGATTAACACGTACCCCACACACGCGCCTTTGTAGGACCAAATGGTCAATATTTCACTAGTCTGGATATGGCGGAAACATAAAGTTAAGCCTTCACCGAACATTCAAAGAGCAATGTGGGTATTACCGGTACGGACCAAAATGGTGGCACTACTATTTCACAGGAGAAAGACCTAGTGGTTACTCCCCCAAATAAACCCGGCAATAGTACTAAGGAAGCTACAGCAACTCACATCTGGGAAGTCCCCAGGTTGTGACGACGTCAGGCCATCTGTTCTGAAACAGTGCGCCGAAGCCCTCTGTGAGCCCTTACGCGACTTGTTCCAACACTCAATGGAATCGGGGAAACTGCCAAGGGAGTGGAAAAGAGCCATCATTTCTCAGATTTTCAAGCGTGGGAACAGGAAAAATGCCACCAGTTATAGACCGGTACGCTACTCCCAGTGGTATCAAAAGTACTGGAAAATATTACTGATCATCACATCAGGGAGCACCTTGATAGTACTACTGGACTATATGGAGCGCAACACGGTTTCGGGAACGGCAGATCCTGTGTAACAAACCTACTATCATTACACTCTACCAGAGTGCCCAAGTTTTATTCTTATATCAAACCTACTATCAGCTTCGGACATTATGGTGGGATGTGAATATTCCTATCCATGTCAACGTGATGATCATTTGCGAGGAGTGTTAACGCGACAGATAGATAGCCAATCAGTTTGATGTGACCTTGTCACACCATGTGATGTAGCTGTAGTGTACATTGTACCTTCGAACTTTTGTTTGAACGGACTCACCTGACATTTAGCACTCCCTTCTCTTTCGATTGTTGAAACTCGTACGTTCTTGGTTCGCTATCTCGTTGTGCTTTCATCCAGCGCACTATCCGAGCCTACCACAGCCAAGGCTGCAGATAAGTGCGTAACCTCTTATTTCTTATCAAATTCCATATCTCTTTTGTGTAAATACAATTCTGTTCCAGTCACAGTTGCCATCTCAAGTCTTTCAGACCTGATTACGTTCGTTAGTACTTGCACGTTAGGCAGAGTACGATTAAGGTCATAAGCGGTGAAGAAGTTTTGTAAAAGTGCTTAATTTAGGTCAAAGTTAAGCCAAGCCTTATTCTTATATGACCTAGAGTGTTCATTTTTTCAATCAATATTTGTGTGTACATGTTATAATTTACCGTTCAATAAGTCCGTTCCCTCAATACTGTTCGGTACGTTTTTCTCTTTTCTTGAGTGACAGAGGGTTTATATATTTTTTCTGGTGTAATTGCATGATTTATTTTATGTTTTAGAAACAGATAAAGTTAAAGTCAAGTCACTCTATTTTTAAATATAGTTAAGGGAAAACTCTATTGTCAATACTGAGCGGGAGTACTGATGTGTAGACAAAACTAATCCTAGAGGCCCTTATGCGACTTGTTCCAACACCTAATGGAGTCGGGGAAACTGTCAAGGGAGTGGAAAAGAGCCATTCTTTCTCCGATCTTCAAGCGTGAAGATGGTCAAACTGCCACTATAGTGGCATATAACTATAGTTATAAACCAGTAGCTCTACTCCCAGTCATATTGATATACATTTATGTAAACATATATATATATCATGTTACCTTAAATTACAGGTTTTTAAACTTGATAGACATAACAAGCAAATGAACGATAGCAGCATTATCGAAAACCTGCGAAATGTTTCACATATTTTCTATTCACCTACAGTCTTAAGATGGAATATATATATATATATATATATATATATATATATATATATATATACATATATTATCATTGACGATCAGATCAGGGAGCACCTCGATAGGTCTAATATACTACATGAATCCCAACACGGTTTCAGGAAAGGCAGATCCTGTGTAACAAACCAACTATCAGCTTGCGACGATCGTACTTCATACTGGGATATGAATGTTCCAGTCCATGTGGTCTACTCAGACTTCGAGAAAACATTTGACACTGTTCAACATGACCTTCTATAGGTATAGGTAAGCCAATTCTGTCATGGTTAAAGGACTACCTAGCTGAAAGGCAATTTTGCACTAAGGTCAATCCAGTTCCATCATCTTGGCACAACTCGTCATCAGGAGTGTTGCAGGGTTCTATCCCAGGAACACTGATGTTTTTCATTTTTATCAATGATCTACCATGCCGTCTAAGCTGCCCGATTCTTCTATACGCTGACGACGTGAAGATATGGGGGGGGCGATAAAGTGTCCGGAGGACTCAGATAGACTGCACGCAGAACTAAACCTTCTGGAAGACTGAACGATGGCCAGTGGCAAAGAAGTGAAATTACGCACCTGTAGACTGCAGAATGCAAGTTACACCCTGTGCAATGGAAGCTTGTCCTGCACAACGTCAAAGCGACACTTAGGTCTAGTCCTAACGGAAAAATGGACACAAGCGTTAACAATACTGGTGGTGTAGCGAGGGGATATGCGGTCATACACTTTACACATAGACAGTGGGCTGCACTCACTCTTAAGCTCTTTCTAAGGTTGTACAAACAATACATCAAACTACACCTTGAAGTGCATAAAATCATTGCACCCCATTGCTAAGAAGAGACGCCAACCTCCTGGAAAGAGTCCAAAGACAGGCAACAAAAGGAGTGGTTGGTCTCCGAAACAAACCATATGATGAAAGGCTAAATAAATGAGGCCTATTCACACTTAGATACCGTCGGCTTTGGGGGGGGGATTTCATTACTGCCTATAAAATAACGAGTGACCATAATCACCCAAACAAAGGTGGCCTGCCATTGAGTAGTTATGAGCTTCCTTGTGAAAATCCCAGAATGATAGCTCACCGGAGGACAAAGACTAGGGTGCGGTCCCCTTCTTTTCACTGAGGGTTTGCTGTCCCTGTAACTCCTTACTGACAGATGTACCTACGGCACTGTCTCTGGACAGCTTTAAATGAAGGTTGGACAATCATGCAGCGACACAAGGAGTGCGTTCAAATAGCCTAGTCCCCTTAAAATCCCATACACCATTCAGGGGTAGACAATTAAACTGGTCGTTTTACTTCTTTACATTTTCTCCTGTTTTACTCTCCTGACAACTTTAACTACACCTATTATTATTATCATTATATATATATATATATATTTACCGGTTGACTGACTGTTGTTACGTTTTCCTATTGTTTTTCTGTCTGTTAGTCTGAATAACTTCACTAATTATATCTAGTATTATTATGATCTCCTTTATTTTGACGACGATACCAGAGGACTAACTGATGAAAGGATCAACTCCATTCACAGTAGTAACAGTCTTAACACACCTCATACTACAAACCACATATAATTAATCGCAGCACTACTCCTTTTGGAGTCAAACAAAGCTACGACAGTCGAGTGGGGCGGGACGAGCTACTCAGAGGTTTACTGAAGATCAGGAACCTATACCTCACAATCAAGAGGCGATCACAAAGAAATCAAATTGGTTTATACTAGCTCGTAGAAACGATATTGGATTCGAATTACACAAATCAGACAATTATTGTGTGCTGGATTTGTATTTTAATTATCTTTTACGATATTAATTCTTGGTTTAGTCATTACTTCAGTTTCCGTTTTTAGACATCCTACTGTTTATTTTCGGTTTTTTAATCTAGAAATTCAGACATCTCCCAAAATGTTTCCAGTTACCAAAGCCTCTCACAATCAAAGTTTACCTGTTTATCCTATGGATGAGTTGTTAAAAGCACGTAGTGAGTTTAGATATCGGTGGAGAAGACGAATGACCGAAAATCCCTTGGCCAGATTAATCATTACTGATCATTACAGATATCCGCCTAATATAATCTTGAAAAACTGGGAGAAATATCCGTTTGATGAGACTGGTGATGAGTCAGACAAGCGTCAGTTCCTTTCAACTATGAGTGATAAAATGAGAAATAGAATAATAATGTTGAAGTCACAGCCTTATATACCTTCTGAAATTTATGATAATATGATATCTGAGGAAGATTTTCAGCATGTTTGTTCACTACTATCAAATGAGGTGTGCATCACAGAGAACTATTTTCAATCGATAAGTCAAAATCAATGCATTTCAGCATGTTATTTTATATGTGATAATTGTGATTTTCTTGGGAGCAATGAAGACGCAGTGGAACACTTGAAACAAACCGGTCATTCGACGTGTAGTAAATACTCACCAATTTTATTATGTAGATGACTCTGGTGCTACTAAACCATGTGAACTAAAAGAACCACGCGTCATCTTTTATGCACCTGATCGAATTTATGGTTGGAGTATTGGTGATTCAGTGATATGTTGTCCTACGTGAAATTCGACAAGATATCACTGAATCACCAATACTCCAACCATAAATTCGATCAGGTGCATAAAAGATGACGCGTGGTTCTTTTAGTTCACATGGTTTAGTAGCACCAGAGTCATCTACATAATAAAATTGGTGAGTATTTACTACACGTCGAATGACCGGTTTGTTTTAAGTGCTCCACTGCGTCTTCATTGCTCCCAAGAAAATCACAATTATCACATAAAATAACATGCTGAAATGCATTGATTTTGACTTATCGATTGAAAATAGTTCTCTGTGATGCACACCTCATTTGATAGTAGTGAACAAACATGCTGAAAATCTTCCTCAGATATCATATTATCATAAATTTCAGAAGGTATATAAGGCTGTGACTTCAACATTATTATTCTATTTCTCATTTTATCACTCATAGTTGAAAGGAACTGACGCTTGTCTGACTCATCACCAGTCTCATCAAACGGATATTTCTCCCAGTTTTTCAAGATTATATTAGGCGGATATCTGTAATGATCAGTAATGATTAATCTGGCCAAGGGATTTTCGGTCATTCGTCTTCTCCACCGATATCTAAACTCACTACGTGCTTTTAACAACTCATCCATAGGATAAACAGGTAAACTTTGATTGTGAGAGGCTTTGGTAACTGGAAACATTTTGGGAGATGTCTGAATTTCTAGATTAAAAAACCGAAAATAAACAGTAGGATGTCTAAAAACGGAAACTGAAGTAATGACTAAACCAAGAATTAATATCGTAAAAGATAATTAAAATACAAATCCAGCATACAATAATTGTCTGATTTGTGTAATTCGAATCCAATATCGTTTCTACGAGCTAGTATAAACCAATTTGATTTCTTTGTGATCGCCTCTTGATTGTGAGGTATAGGTTTCTGATCTTCAGTAAACCTCTGAGTAGCTCGTCCCGCCCCACTCGACTGTCGTAGCTTTGTTTGACTCCAAAAGGAGTAGTGCTGCGATTAATTATATGTGGTTTGTAGTATGAGGTGTGTTAAGACTGTTACTACTGTGAATGGAGTTGATCCTTTCATCAGTTAGTCCTCTGGTATCGTCGTCAAAATAAAGGAGATCATAATAATACTAGATATAATTAGTGAAGTTATTCAGACTAACAGACAGAAAAACAATAGGAAAACGTAACAACAGTCAGTCAACCGGTAAATATATATATATATATATATAATGATAATAATAATAGGTGTAGTTAAAGTTGTCAGGAGAGTAAAACAGGAGAAAATGTAAAGAAGTAAAACGACCAGTTTAATTGTCTACCCCTGAATGGTGTATGGGATTTTAAGGGGACTAGGCTATTTGAACGCACTCCTTGTGTCGCTGCATGATTGTCCAACCTTCATTTAAAGCTGTCCAGAGACAGTGCCATAGGTACATCTGTCAGTAAGGAGTTACAGGGACAGCAAACCCTCAGTGAAAAGAAGGGGACCGCACCCTAGTCTTTGTCCTCCGGTGAGCTATCATTCTGGGATTTTCACAAGGAAGCTCATAACTACTCAATGGCAGGCCACCTTTGTTTGGGTGATTATGGTCACTCGTTATTTTATAGGCAGTAATGAAATCCCCCCCCCAAAGCCGACGGTATCTAAGTGTGAATAGGCCTCATTTATTTAGCCTTTCATCATATGGTTTGTTTCGGAGACCAACCACTCCTTTTGTTGCCTGTCTTTGGACTCTTTCCAGGAGGTTGGCGTCTCTTCTTAGCAATGGGGTGCAATGATTTTATGCACTTCAAGGTGTAGTTTGATGTATTGTTTGTACAACCTTAGAAAGAGCTTAAGAGTGAGTGCAGCCCACTGTCTATGTGTAAAGTGTATGACCGCATATCCCCTCGCTACACCACCAGTGTTGTTAACGCTTGTGTCCATTTTTCCGTTAGGACTAGACCTAAGTGTCGCTTTGACGTTGTGCAGGACAAGCTTCCATTGCACAGGGTGTAACTTGCATTCTGCAGTCTACAGGTGCGTAATTTCACTTCTTTGCCACTGGCCATCGTTCAGTCTTCCAGAAGGTTTAGTTCTGCGTGCAGTCTATCTGAGTCCTCCGGACACTTTATCGCCCCCCCCCCATATCTTCACGTCGTCAGCGTATAGAAGAATCGGGCAGCTTAGACGGCATGGTAGATCATTGATAAAAATGAAAAACATCAGTGTTCCTGGGATAGAACCCTGCAACACTCCTGATGACGAGTTGTGCCAAGATGATGGAACTGGATTGACCTTAGTGCAAAATTGCCTTTCAGCTAGGTAGTCCTTTAACCATGACAGAATTGGCTTACCTATACCTATAGAAGGTCATGTTGAACAGTGTCAAATGTTTTCTCGAAGTCTGAGTAGACCACATGGACTGGAACATTCATATCCCAGTATGAAGTACGATCGTCGCAAGCTGATAGTTGGTTTGTTACACAGGATCTGCCTTTCCTGAAACCGTGTTGGGATTCATGTAGTATATTAGACCTATCGAGGTGCTCCCTGATCTGATCGTCAATGATAATATATGTATATATATATATATATATATATATATTCCGTCTTAAGACTGTAGGTGAATAGAAAATATGTGAAACATTTCGCAGGTTTTCGATAATGCTGCTATCGTTCATTTGCTTGTTATGTCTATCAAGTTTAAAAACCTGTAATTTAAGGTAACATGATTGTCCAATTTTCCACCGATCGTAGCTTCATTTAACTGCGAATATTATTAGTGCGTGTTGAATTATTCTTAATTTCTAGATTTGTTGCTGTGTCTTAGAAGAAAATCTGTATACAGAAATAAGATGACTCATGTTTACTCGTCGAACTTCTGTAATATTAGAAGTCATAACTATCGACCGAAGGGTGTGTGTACTGCTCATCAGTCCGCTCCATCCTCCTATATGGCCGGGTGTGAGACATGGCCATTGAGAAGGGAAGACATGAAAAGATTAGCTGTCTTTGATCATAGTTGCCTGAGTGCTATCTCCCGTGTGAAGTGGTGTAATAAGGTCAGCAATATTGAGGTTAGGCTTTGGTTGATTGCTAGGTAAGGATGGGAAATCAATCGACGAGAGTGTGAAATTACATCGACTGAGATGGTTAGTACATGTGTTACGTATGCCTAGTCATCGCCTTCCTCGACTGACGGGCAATGTTAGCTGATATAGGGTCAGGCTGGAAAAGAGCTAGCGGCGGTCAAACGAAAACATGTCTTCATCAGTCAATGAAATCTACAACAGTTAGTTTCAGTAAGTCACATAGGGAGGTGTGGACTTCGTGGTTGGGGTCCTCGTGACGGTAAAAACCAGTGACGGCTGGAAACAATTGGTGATATGGCTCAAAATCCTCGTTCTCCTTGTGACTTATAATTTCCAATGAAACTTTTGTTCTTCGTTATTACTATTCCTTTGTCTCACACCTCTGTTTACTGTCTCTAATATGCATTTCTTCTCATGCTTTGTGTGCTACATGGAGTGTGGTGACTCGAACTGCCGCATATGTGTGCAAAGTTCTCTGTCGAAAACAGACAGACAATAATGATAGTATTAGTAATAATGGTATAACGATAATAAATCATAAAAAGGAAAATGAAAGTGAATTCAAGTAAAGTATCTCTGAAAATGTCCAAGTCGACTGATTTTCGCATAAAACATGGTGCTTTGTGTTCATGTATACGCCGTTTGATTGAAATTATCTCAACCAGAATGGAAAGTTTTAACTTTAAGATGTATAACTGCATCAATCACTAGTGGTCTACAACCTGTTTTTGCTTTGCTGTTGTTTACTCAGAAATGTATGCTATATATTTAAGTCAGTAGGAAGGTGAGATAATAGAGATGAAGATGAAGACAAAGGTGAGTGAGGAATAGAGAGGTTTCGCATGCTCTTCGTGTTGTGAGGGCGATTGTTACTTCCCGGCTGCCCACACCGTGGAAGTTGGTTGCGTGACCGCAGAGCCCAGGGGACAACTGCTTGAGGCCGGTCACACACGGCCTGTTTTTCTTTGTTGTTTTTCATTTGGTGTGTCTCAGTAGCGTATTTATCACTTCTGCCCTGTGACACGGCAGCAGAAAGCGCGGTCGTTGTTAATCCGGGCCCCGACCGATCCGGCATGAGATTTTGTGATTTATTTTAAGTCATAGGATTGGATTGGGTAACTGCTTTTAGTCTAACCGCTATCCAAACAACCTTCCTGGCATGGTAGGACCTGCAGGAACATAAGTTCCAGCCAGTATAGCTTGTTGGGTCATTGCGGTGTTCAAGCCCGACCACCACGTCAAGGTAGCAGCTTTCGGTCGGGTATTTAACTCAAAAACTAGATGAAATGCAAACCAGAGTTAATTTCATTTCAAGTATTATAGCTGGACTTGGTTTAATTCGATTGATCTCCTCTACTTGTCAGGGTTATTTTCTCGGTGTTTCGGGTGAAAAGTTAACCAGACGTTTACGTGAGAATCTGTTCGCATCTATGTTGAAACAAGAAGTAGCATGACATGACCAACCAGAGCATAGTCCAGGTATTTTGTTGGTTAGGCTAATAACAGATGCAAATAAAGTGAATTCACTTAGTGGTGTATCATTGGGTCGATTAATTGAGTCCATTGTACTAGTGTGATTGCTTCATTAACTATCGGTTTCGTCTATAATTGGGAATTGACTTTAGTTGTGTTAGTTTTCTTCCCAGTGATTATGTTATGTGCATCGGTGGCACAGTGGTTAGGACGCTCACCGACCATGCACATATTGCGGGGTTCGATCCTCTGCCGATGCACATTTGATATCAATGGTTGGCCTGCAAAATTTGGGCTACCAGTGGTATCACATGCTGAAAATTCCATACTTCTACCAAAAAGTACAGTGTGGAATCAAGCTATAATAAAAAAAATTTACAGCTTCGTCAAATTCGTAAAAGTTCTTAAGGCAATAAAGCGACTGCAGCAGCTCGTATCATTATTATTATTATTATTTATGAAGCTCTTAGTTCAACAAGAACAATGTACGCTTATAATTTCGAAGATTACTTTTATAAACAGTATTGTTCTATACTCAATTCGGAAATGACAGCTGGTAATCGTAGCTTCATAGTTTTATTCATTTGTCTATGCATTGGCTCAATCATTACCAATATGTGCATACGCAGCTGCATTTTCATGTGGAGCTTATCTAATGAGTATTGAAGAGATCACTTTGATGGCAATATTCATGGTCTCCGCTGCTATCAGTTTCGCAGCTCAAGCACTTGGTAGAAAGGACATCACATATTGGCCCAGAAATGAAACATGCCTCATTGGTGGCAGCTGATCGAATTTTTAAACTTTTAGATGGAAAGTCTAAAATACCTGTCAGTGAAGGTGGTTTATTTATACCTTGATCAACCTTTAAATAGTTTACCTATAGAATTTAGACAAGCCTCATTCCGTTATCCATCTCGGCCAGAATCTTGGATTTTAAAGAACTTCTCACATACATTTGAACCTGGTCGAAAGACAGCTATGGTAGGACTTTCAGGATCTGGTAAGACCAGTATACTAAGTTTAATTCAATGGCTTTATGACAATGGAAATGTAGTATATTTTTCAATGGTATTAATCGTCGAGTAATTTTACGGAAATGGATTCGTCAACAAATTGGTGTTGTCAGTCAAGAACCACAATTATTTAATATTTCTATTATGGGAAATATTGCTTATGGGAATAAGGCGAATAATGCTATAACAATGGATGAAATAATAACCAATGCAGCACGTCGTGCAAATATTCATGAATTCATCACGAGTCTTCCAGAGGGTTACAATACGCTAGCTGATCCCCGTGGAGCACATATACCCACTGGCCAACGACAAAGATGGAAGGAAGCACAACATTTGATTGATTTGTTCTGGCATAGATGGCTACGTGAATATCATCCGATGCTGCAAACAAGATCTAAATGGTTGGATATAAAGTGTAACCTACAACCTGGTGATCTCGTCCTAGTTAACAGTGCTGACACACCGAGAGGTCTCTGGCGAAAGGCTATAGTTAAGCAGGTGTACTATGACCAAGATGGCCTCGTCAAGACGATGCGTTTGAAAACTGCAACTCAAAAAGTCGAACGAGGTATAAGAAGCGTATGTTTATTGGAAGAAGCAGACAACTTGAAGGTTCCAGATACGAGAAGTCAACGTGGTGATCGTTCGCGGGGAGTGTTAATCGCGACAGGTAAATAGACTGTATGATAGAAAGCCATTCAATATGATGTGACCTTGAGTGTCCTTTGTTTTCTGTCACTTTATTTGTGTGTACATGTAATTAATTAACCGTTCATTTAGTCCGTTCCCTCAATACTGTTCGGTACGTTTTTGTCTTTTCTTGAGTGACAGAGGGTTTATATATTTTTCCTGGTGTAATTGCATCATTTATTTTATGTTTTAGAAACAGATAAAGTTAAAGTCAAGTCACTCTGTTTTTAAATATAGTTAAGGGAAAACTGTATTGTCAGTACTGAGCGGGAGGACTGATGTGTAGACAAAACTAATCCTAGGGGCCCTTATGCGACTTGTTCCAACACCTAATGGAGTCGGGGAAACTGTCAAGGGAGTGGAAAAGAGCCATCCTTTCTCCGATCTTCAAGCGTGAAGATGGTCAAACTGCCACTATAGTGGCATATAACTATAGTTGTAGACCATTAGCTCTACTCCCAGTCGTATATATATATATATATATATATATATATATCAACTTTAAACTTAATCAGCTGACTGTTGTTACATGTCCTTTATTTCTTTTTCTGTATGTTAGTCTGAATAACTTCACTAATTATATCTATTATTATTATTATTATGATCTGCATTCTTTTGACGACCATACCAGAAGACTAACTGATGAAAGGATCAACTCCATTCACAGTAGTAACAGTCTTAACACACCTCATACTACAAACCACATATAATTAATCGCAGCACTACTCCTTTTGGAGTCAAACAAAGCTACGACAGTCGAGTGGGGCGGGACGAGCTACTCAGAGGTTTACTGAAGATCAGGAACCTATACCTCACAATCAAGAGGCGATCACAAAGAAATCAAATTGGTTTATACTAGCTCGTAGAAACGATATTGGATTCGAATTACACAAATCAGACAATTATTGTGTGCTGGATTTGTATTTTAATTATCTTTTACGATATTAATTCTTGGTTTAGTCATTACTTCAGTTTCCGTTTTTAGACATCCTACTGTTTATTTTCGGTTTTTTAATCTAGAAATTCAGACATCTCCCAAAATGTTTCCAGTTACCAAAGCCTCTCACAATCAAAGTTTACCTGTTTATCCTATGGATGAGTTGTTAAAAGCACGTAGTGAGTTTAGATATCGGTGGAGAAGACGAATGACCGAAAATCCCTTGGCCAGATTAATCATTACTGATCATTACAGATACCCGCCTAATATAATCTTGAAAAACTGGGAGAAATATCCGTTTGATGAGACTGGTGATGAGTCAGACAAGCGTCAGTTCCTTTCAACTATGAGTGATAAAATGAGAAATAGAATAATAATGTTGAAGTCACAGCCTTATATACCTTCTGAAATTTATGATAATATGATATCTGAGGAAGATTTCCAGCATGTTTGTTCACTACTATCAAATGAGGTGTGCATCACAGAGAACTATTTTCAATCGATAAGTCAAAATCAATGCATTTCAGCATGTTATTTTATATGTGATAATTGTGATTTTCTTGGGACCAATGAAGACGCAGTGGAACACTTGAAACAAACCGGTCATTCAACGTGTAGTAAATACACACCAATTTATTATGTGGATGAATCTGGTGCTACTAAACCTTGTGAACTAAAAGAACCACGGGTCATCTTTTATTCACCTGATAGAATTTATGGTTGGAGTATTGGTGATTCAGTGATATGTTGTCCTACGTGCAAATTGACATTCCCAGATAAGGTGAGATTTGTTTATTGTAATCGAAATTCAGTGACCATGATATTGAGAGGTTAATCACACTCTCTTTCTGTATGCATGCATAAGTCTGGTTTAAACCGTTTGATTGCGATCGCTTCGGCAAATCGTAGTAAATTTGCTGTCTATTTAATATTTTGAAGGACTTAGAAATCTCTACGAGATGTCCGGTATCAACAAACAATATGTCTGTTAATTGCACTCTGAGAATATTTGCTTCCTTTCAGCCAGGCACAGGTTTCTTGGAATATGTTGTTGAGAAAAGCGGATAGAAGCCGTTCTTTCTGTCCTTCCAATGTACTTGCTCCCGCAAGTGCAGACAGCTGATTAAATTTGAAGTTGATATATATATACATATATGTATATATATATATATATATGTATATGTTTACATATATATATGTATACATATAGTTAATAATAACTGTAATATTAATAAGTGTAGTTAAAGTTGTCAGGAAAGCGAGACATGAGAGAATGTAAAGGAGTAAAACGACGAACTTATTTGTCTACCTCTGAATGGTGTATGGGATTTTAACGGGACTAGGCAATGTGGACGTACTCCTTGTGTCGCTGCATTATTGTCCAGCCTTCACGTAAAGGCGTCCACAGACAGTGCCGTAGCTACATCTTCGGGACTTTGAAAACCAGTGGTTGGAAACAAATGGTGACATGGCTCAAAATCGTTCTCAGTATCGCAGGGGCATCGACTCCTTGTGACTTTTGATTTCCAATGAAACTGTTTTGTTCTTTGTTATTACTATTTCTTTGTCTCACACCTCTGTTTACTGTCTCTTATATGCATTTCTTCTCTTGCTCTGTGTGCTACATGGAGGGAGTGTGGCGACCTGAAGTGCCGCCTAAATGTGCAAAGTTCTATGTCGAAAATAGACAGACAAACAGAAGTCATAACTCCTTGACACAGGATGTAGAATACAAACGAACAATGAAGAATTGATTTGTGTGTACATATTTTGATTAACTTACCATTTATATCAAGTAATAATACACGAAAAATGAAATGAGATTAGTTTTGAACCACAGGAAATGTATTGATGCACTTTGATTAATGTCCGGACGATGAGTTGTAGAAGATAGTAAAGGTAGAACAAGAATCTGGTTAATAACTGGGGTTATTTCAAGATAGCACTAGAAAATAGAATTCTTAAATGCCAAGTCCTATGAAGGAGCTTACTTCAATGTCTTCTTGTCGTTCTGATATTGCTTATATTGTCTGGAACAACAACAACAAGGCCAGTAATTTTTCGATTATATGTAGGTGGTGGTTGGGTTAAGAATGACGTCGTGAGTGTTTGCCAACTAGGATTGTCGAGACCTGTTTTGTGCATACAGAAGTGCTACTCTCCTGGTAAAACTAAGTTATCCGGATAGTGATCGGGTTGGAGGGTAAATTTGAGGGTAATCAGACTACAAAATAGCAGATATTCATGATAATCAGATTCATGTGGAGGTGGTAGGTATAGGTTATCAAAATGGGGTGCTTTAGGTGGTATTGGAAATTACGAGTTTGCATATACTCGATGAAATGGCTTTAATTTACAGTGATGCATACATATCCGCTATTCATCATGGAGACAGACCCTGAATATATGTTCAGTAAGTTATTTTGCCTTCCACACGTTTGTTTATTAGTGTCAGTAAGTATATATGTGTGTGTGTGTTCTGTTCTTTATATGCTTTCTCGCCCCCGGCTGTAATATCTTCAGTCGATGCGCACAGTTATGCACGAGTTTGCCGACCGATTATAGATTTATTCAAAGTGTACCATTTTAAGGTGACTGAGTAGTAGTGAGACGCAACATAATCTTCTGATTTGAGTTAACTTGAGGTTGACATCTGATTGTTAATCAGGACTATTTATATATGAGTAAGGGAGGTCGCTGTAGCGATTACTATATCACAATATACCAGGCTTACTGAACTTAATGAGCCCAACTATCACTTAATCAGCAATGCTGCTACCTGTCTCATACGCACTGACAACTAGGCGAAAATCAAAAGACACAGTTATTTAGCAGGATGCTCTACTGAACAATATACTTAAGCGGAATATATATGTTAAGATTATTAAGGCGAAGGGGGGGGCGTGGCGGAAGATTTAAGGACTTATCTGGCTAATATGGCTAAGTAAGCTAAGGACTCCAAGAAATGCACGAGTTACCAGCACAGAGTGGAAGCGCACCCAAACAAGGAAAAATATGGCGTAGCGTCATCGTACATGTATGAGTTAAAACAAAAACTCAAAACATTCAAGATATTAATTTCATTGTTCCCTTGGATTCCTGCACTGGCTTCTGCCTTCACTTGCATCCATGTTAGTCCATACTGTGTCAACTCTTCTTCACACGATCTCCTCCATGTCACCCTTGGACGTCGTACTCGCCGCTTCCCTTTCGGGTTCCATTCGAGCTATGGCCTGACGCGTGATGTCACCCAGCGGCCTCCTTAGTGAGTGTCCAATCCATCTACACTTTCTCCTTCATATTTGTTGAGCGATTGGTTCTTGTTTTGTTTGTTCCCACATTTTCTTGTTGTTGATTCTTTCCGGCCATCTGATCTTGAGTATAGAACGAAGACAGCTGTTGGTAAAGGTCTGCAACAGGCTGCTGGGAATATTCTTTGTGACCCGCCGTCAAGTTTCTGATCCGTATAGAAGAACTGACTGACTTGACGTCGTTTGTATTGCAAGTCCGAATTTTGTTGTTGATGCTGAGTAAGAGCGTAAGATTTTCAGATTGGTTTCGTGTGGATGAATGTGTTTCTCGCCTTCCCGAATCTCGATTTGACATCGTCGTCCGTTCCTCCTGTAGTATTTGAGACAATGCTCCCTATATAAGTAAGTGAATGAAGTAACTTCTTTCAAATCCCTCCCGTTGATGGTGATTGGCGGTGGATGTTGCTGTTGTTGTTGGTTGGTTATTTTGATAACCTCCGTCTTGTCTATGTTCACCTGGATTCCTGTCTTCACTGCCTGCTTCTTCGACCAGTTTGTCGGTTTTCGCCTGTAAGTCTTCGATTTTGTGTGACATCAAACATAAATCATCCACACGCGAAGTCCAGGTCTTCTAGGTTCTTCACGTCGGTGGTCCAGGATATCCCTGTCTTCTCGTTTACCACTGTCTGACGCATAATCTAGTCCACCACAATTAGGAATATCATTGGTGATAATAAGCACCCTTGTCTGACTCCTGTGTTTACTCCAAACGCTTCGCTGAGTTTTCCGTTGTGGATCACTTGACATGTGCCGTTGTCGTACAGCTGTTGAATAAGGTTGATGAATATTTGGGGTACGCCGTAGTACTCGATTAGTTTCCAAATTACTTCGCGGTCAACGCTGTCGAAGGCCTTCTCAAAGTCTATAAAGTTGAGGTAGAGGTTTGATTGCCATTCCATGCTTTGTTCTGTGATGATGATGCGTAGAGTTGCAATTTGGTCAGAACATGATTTGCCTTTCCAAAACATTCAAGGTTCGCTACATATATATATGTACATGTTTGCATCATTGTGAATTATTTAGAAGGAGGATGTCAGCGAATCCACAGTCCATCATTCTCAATACCACCTTACGAAGGAGAAACATCATCTTACTAACAGTTTGATTCGGAAATTGAAATAAGAAGAAGAAGGAGGATAAACTGTTAATCATGGTGTAATGAAGGTGTGGAATAAGAAATTTAAAAATGTACAAGTGTTTTTTGATTGCCGATGAAACGATTGCTGTCACAACTGTAGTGTCTGCCTTGAACTTCGCGTTTCCACACTTCATCATATTATTCATCGTGTAATTTTGTTTGATTTTTATGCATAAATTATCATTGAGTGCGTAATTCGAAAAAAAATACATACATGTATATTTTGAATTATTTCATTTTTTTAAAATTGGTTTTTTAGTTAATGTGTGCCTATCACCATGAATTGCAACATCCTCAAGGTGAACCGCTTTACACCTATGGAAAGGTTTTGATTGTAAAAGACCTAAAAATTCATCACTCACTAATATGCTCAAATTGTCAAATTGGATTTTCTACAATCGAAGGCTTTACACAACATTGTATAGACTCTACACGATGTGATTCATCCTTTTTTTCCTCTTTATTCCACTGTCAAACGTCGTTACCGAGTTCTCAGTCTGTCATCATTTTATCTGTATTGTGCAAATTTTGTGAGCGTAGTTTTTCTACAGTCTTAACACCTGAGGCTTGGTTCACTGCTCAATCGACCACTGGTAGTAGCAGAAAGCGTAAACATCCACCACCAGAACAACAACAAGAAGAAGAAGAATGGAACACTGAGAATTACTCTAAAACGGATTATCAATCATCATCATCAGTTTCTTGTGGCAAAGACTTTTCTCGTTTCTGTCTAAGTCATGCTTTTCAGCATATTGATCGAGAAAATCTTCAATCTTGTCATCTAAGCCTACGTGTTATCGATATTTCAAAGTCTGTTGAATGTCGTCTACCGCCTATTCATGGAATAAGTCATTCGACGACGACTGTATTACTTTTTTCTCTATACGAATGTAAACGTCTTGTTTTATATCTTAAAAAGTATTATGGAGGTTCATTCTATTTGTTGAAAGATGCTGAAAAGCATTTAAAAGATTTACTTGCACAGGCTGCATTGATTCTCTCTCCTTATTTTCTCTATAATAATATTTTTTCCTAACTTTTTTGTTTACTACGTTTAAGCATTTCTGTACATATGTATGTATATATGCGTATATTATATTATATTATAACATTTGTATATATTATATCTCCATTATGGATAAGATTTCACTCATGTATATAAATGAAGGGAAAAAGTCGTGTGTGTGAGTAGTGCCTTGATATGAGATTATGAGCAGTATTAATTTGTGCTCGAAGCGTGTGGTCATCAGTTAATATTACTGTATTATAACACTCCACTGTGTGACAGTTTATCAAAATAAAACCTTATCCATAATGGAGTTATACTCTACCACCACAGTGACAGTGCAAACGTTTTATACTTGTATCAATAATTTGTATTATATATATATATTTTTCTAATGTCTCTCAGTATTTTTCCATTAGCAGTATACTAACTTTTAGGTTTTGTTGATAATGATGAACCCGACCAATAGCTGCTGCCTTGACACATGGTGGTGGTCGGGCTTGCACACTGCAATGACCCAACAAGCTACACTGGCTGGAACTATTGTTCCTGCAAGTCCTATCATGCCAGGAATGTTTTTTGGATGGCGATTAGACTGAAAGCAGTTACCGGCATAGTGTAAGAATTTTTTTACACTCTGCTGGGGGGTGTCTGTGGGCGAACAGGGATGTAACAGAGGTAAGGTGTTTCCCTCAAATGACCAGCACGCCAGCCAGCTATGCTGTCTCTCCACTCTGGAGAGAAGGGGTTAGAAAAGGTCGACCCCGAAAATTGTACGTTCAGAAATAGTTGTTTTAACGACTTCAATATCGAAGTAGGGATGTTGTGCCAGACTGAGAAGTATATAGGTGGTACGTATGGAATTCCATGCCGACGAACTGACAACGGTGATTGTCTTCTTCTACAGTTCTGTTCAGATAATCATCTGTTCCTAGTCAGCACTAACTTTAGGCACAAAGAGAGACATTGCGTAATCTAGCAACCTCCATCACCAAATCAACGTTGGACTCAGATCAACCACAAAGCGATAGGATATCGTTGTCGAGGGTCAGTAGAAGACTGACCCACCACTCCTTTTGGAACACGTGCGTAGACTCCGATCGCGCTGTGGTCCGCGCAAGCTTATGCTTACGTCTGAACGCACATAAATTGTTGGCAGCGAAACAGTTACTTCCCCAACTAGATCGAGACACTGAGTCCCTATTTAAGGAAGAAAAGGTGAAAGTAGTATCTTAGGTCGACAGCAGGACTCCTCCTGATAAAGTCTGGCACAACATGCGGTTAGCTGTAAAAGCTGTTAATAACCTGAAACCTAAAGTTAGTAAGAGCCAGTGGATTTCTACCAGCTCATCCGAACTGATAGACGCAAGAAGACTGATTCCGTCGAGCTTCGATTATGATGAGGAGTGAAAGCTGCTCAAACGCAAACTGACAAGAAGTCTCGTTAACGACCGTGAACAGTGGTGGGCGAAAAAAGCGAAAGAGATGGAAAAGGCATCGGCGATTGGTAAAACCAAACAACTATTTAGACTTATCCGGGAAACAGGTGGCAAAAGGCAAATGATAAGTGAAGCAATCTCGGAGAAAAATGGCACCTTTATTAGCTCTCAGAACAGACGAATGGAACGCTGGAAAGAAAACTTTGAGGAGCAATTCTGTTGGTCTACAGCTACGCTCAACCTGTCGAACATCCAACGCCTCCCTGAATGGGATATAGACGCAAGTCCTCCGTCCCTAACTGAGGTTACTATGGCTGTCACTAGTCTGAAACAAAGCAAAGCAGCAGGACCTAATGGAATGACTCCAGAGATATTGAAGTACGGTGGAGAGAGTTTACTGTCCGGGTTAAGTAGGGGATTAGGCAACGTCTGGGAATCAGAGGAAGTCCCGTCGAGTTGGTGTACGTCACTGATTATCCCAATATACAAGAAGGGAGACGAGTCTTCCTGTGATAATCACAGGGGATTATGTTGACTAATATGGTATCTAAAGTCTTAGGCTCAATAATCATGTGTAGACTAAGTGGTGCTCAGGAGGCAAAAACACGAGAGAACCAGGCAGGCTTTAGACCATGAAGAGAGTGTATTGACCATATATTCACCCTTTAATCGATTGTGGAACATGGGCATTCTTATCGATTGTCATATTTCTTGACCTAAAGGCGGAATTCGATTCTGTCGACCAAGAGGTACTATGGTGATGATTGGTTGTGAAAGGAATGACGATAAAATACATTGCAGTGATCAAGGCACTCTACTCGAACTCATGCAGCCAGCCAGGTGAGGGCTTACGGCGAGTTGTCATCTGAAGTGGTGACAACTAGTGGTGTCCGTCAGAGATGCCCACTGTCCCCAGTTCTATTTAATTCCATCATTGATGTATTAATGGACTTAACCCCAACTGACTTCATCAACTCAGACATTGACTTGCTACGAGGGTTTGAATAATCTCGTTGACTTAGAATATGCAGATGATATAGTCCTTGTAGGTGAAGACGCTGACAAAATGCAGTCTTCTGAACACCTTAGGGAGCAATGTTCGAATGTTTGGTGTGAGATTCGCTCGTGCTATCAAATGTAAGATGATGCTACAGGACTGGAGTACATTGACCCTTAGCTTAGAAATAGGGAGTGAAGTGATTGGTGGAGTGTGTTGACCACTTCACTTATTTGGGAAGTTGCATAAGCCAACGCCAGCGGGTTGATCGCTGACGAAATATTAGAATGGATACAGAAGACCAGTCTCGCATATGCCAGTTTACGCCGTCTCTGGCGCAGACATGATATCCGGCTGGCTATCGGCTAAAGGGCGTGTGCACTGCTCCTCCGTCCTCCTTTATGGCCGGCTGTGAGTGAGACATGGCCATTGAGAGTGGAAGACATGAAAAGACTAGTTGTCTTTGATCACAGGTGCCTGCGTTCTATCTCCCGTGTGAAGTGGTATAATAGGGTGAGCAATATTGAGGTAAGGCATCGGTCGAGTGCTAGGTAAGGAGGAAGGGGAAATCAATCGACGAGGCTGTGAAATTACATCGACTGAGATGGTTAGGACATGTGTTACATATGCATCCTAGACATAGCCTTCGTCGACAGTGGGTAATGTTAGCTGATATAGGGTCAGGCTGGAAAAGAGCATCGTTTTTCGTTATTACTATTCCTTTGTCCCACACTTCTGTTTACTGTCTCTAATATGCATTTCTTCTATTGCTTTGTGTACTACAATAAGGGAGTGTGGCGACTTGAACTGCCGCACATATGTGCAAAGTTCTCTATCGAAAACAGACAGACAGTTGTAATCTTAGTTGACCATAAATTAAGGGCTGATTTATGGTTTCTTGACATTTATATAGGGCTCCGCACTTTTCTTCACTTTTCTAAAGTTGTTTACTGTATCAGTTTCTGATTACTATGGTTGTTTCTTTTTGTATCGGGAAGCCTGTTAACATAAAACTACTGAAACGTGAGAATTACAGAGAAGTGGTCTTCCTGTTAGAATAAATATAATCACTTGGTGTTTTGCTTTACTGTTCACAGAAATCGTGGAATTTCACGTGTAAATCAACAATTTGTTGGACACACATAGCACACAATGAAACAACAACATAATTAACTGAGGATGTTTCGAATTATACCTGATCACTTACTTTATGTGTAATAGTGTGGAGTGTGCTACTGAAGAGATTTATCAGTAGTATAGTATACGGATACAGACATAAATATGAATATAATTTCGCAAGAATATCGAACAGCAGATGGATTTAGTGGAGAAGAGAAGAAATGAACACGATTCTTGGGAAACGGCAGAGAAAACATGAACTAAAGACAATGACAACTGCATACATAATAGGGGAGATATGTACAAATTGTGGTTTTAATATATATGAAAAAAAAGACAGTTGCAGCGAAGAAAATTTTCTTTTCGACGAAGTCACCGTCAACTAGGCTGTAGATTCGTGTATTTATATCAAATGGGTGGGAAAGTTCCAGAATAATTTCTGGTTAGGGGTTAAATTAATAAAAATTACAATTAGGAATTAAAATGCCATAATAAACAGGGGGATGGGTAAAACTCAAACAAAGTAGCGTAATAACTAAGAAGATTGACATTGTGCAATTGGGGGTTAGAAATGTAAAAATAACGAAATATACAGGATGTTTGGATAAAAAACTAGTGTGATGAATAATTGTTTATGCAATCAGGGATTCAATATGTAGAAATAGTAAAATGACAAGATAAACAGGAAGAGTGGGTATGAAAATATGGTAGTGTAGACAGGGATTGAGAAAAACTTAAAATAACATGAATAAACAGGAAGTTTAGATAAGAAAGGCGATGGGATGGTCATTATTGAAAAATTTACCTGTTTATGATGGCCATGACAGGGACAGGGGTTGGACGTATTTCTTTTGGATACAAAGAGTGGGTTTGAGTTTTTGGATAGCGAACGCCTCAGCTATGCCCAAGTGTCTTGATTTCACTCCCTTTGATAGGTTTGATTGAATCTTGTATATTACTATGAAGGACTTTTCGAAAGGCGCTGAATGTCCTCAGTTGACCAGATGTTCTGTCACTGAAAAGGCACAAGCAGAGAAGAAAATTTTTTCTTTTCGACGATTCATTTTCATGAGCTGTACAATCGTAATTATATTAAACAAAGAAATCTTTAGACCAATGAGATAGATAGTGGTAGACTTTGTCCTCGAAAAATGTATTACATAACGTAAGGTGTAAGATTGGACAGGAGGGGATGACTAATTGTAAGTTAGAAAAGAGGCAGAAGTAGGCATGACGTAATAAATGTGAGATAATGACTAATCCATATGCTCGTGTAGAATGGATTGGAACTAGTGGAAAGGCAATAGTGTTTTTATATAAAATCTGTATGAAGAAGCAATGTTATTAATAAAGAGTAATAAAATGTGGATTATAGGAATAATAATGATAATAAAAGTATTAACAATAATAATAATAGTGAACTTACAAAATAAAAGAAGGAAGAAAATTTGTAGTAAGGACTTTACTCTGTCCATGGTAGGGAGAGAGAATGTATGTGTCGCTTTTGAATGCAGAGGTCCGGTTTCAGATGTCGAATAGCTAATGCTTCAGCTATGTACAGATGGCGTATCCAAAGTCCCTTTGTACGATATTGAGGGACTCTGTGTAACACTGTGAAGCATTCATGCAAGTGGGGGTGCTCGATGTCCGGAGATGACAAGGTGTTCGAGGATAGAGCTGCTGCTATTCTTCTTTTCTCCTCTGGCTGGCTAACCAAGCTGGACAGTGTTCCAGAATACGTTTGTGGACTTGACGTTGCGTACGGCCAATATACTTTGCTCCACACGAGCAAGTAAATTGATAAA